AGTAAACTCATGTCATAAAACAAAATTGGTTGACTAGAAAATGAAGTGTTCAGGTCTTTGTTTCTTCTGTCAAAAAGTGTAGTGTAAAAGTTTTTTTAGGTATTACAGAGACATCAACACAGCAGCTGACATCTTATCTGTGTCTCTGTGTGTATCTGCAGAGGAGGCTCTGCAGAGTTTGTTGGAGTGCCTGACATGTCCGCCCTTCACGCCCACTCAGCACCTAGAGAGGGAGCAGGCGCTGGCCAAACAGTTTGCAGAGATCCTCCACTTCACTCTGCGCTTTGATGAGCTGAAGGTCTGCCGGAAACACTGACCTGTCCAACTCAGTAACACACACACAGAGTTTCAGTCACTGTGGCTGAATGTGTTTTAGTCTAAGCTAAGACTGCTGTCTTGTTTTTCTTCAGATGAGAATTCCTGCCATCCAGAACGACTTCAGCTACTACAGAAGAACCATCAGTCGAAACCGGATAAACAACATGAACGTGAGTTCTGTTACTTTAGATCTACAATAGCTGGCACTAGGCTGACAACCGCCATTCTGTTCTGGGGTTCTCATATCCACATATTTATATCTAACAGCAGATATTTCTGTGTTTAGTATCTGCAGTGCTTCCAGAGAATGACACATGAGAAGGTGGCAGGGTTCACTGTTTAATGGTGTGTTTTATATCACATCAGAGTCAACTGTACAGTAAGACCACCTCTTGTGTTTGTGTGTCTTTTGTTTCTGCACCTGCAGTTGGATATTGAAAACGAAGTCAACAACGAGATGGCCAACAGGATGTCTCTGTTCTACGCTGAAGCCACACCCATGCTGAAAACACTCAGCAACGCAACCACAAACTTTGTGACAGAGGTGAGAGGCTTTCACCGTTGTTACAACTGTCAACACGACAAACTACACTGTAATAGTCTTCTAACTAAGGAAATCTCTATCGTACTTTATCATTTACACGGAGGGAAACTGAGATTGCATTTATCTTCAACGCAGCCCTTTCAACTGTGTGTTTGGATGAGAAAGCTAAGTTCCACAAATACATATATATTACAGCTGCTCGAACTTTCACAATGATTCACACTTTGTTGCATTGTTGATCAAATTTTTATTTTCTTTTTAACTTCATATCCCATCTTTGTGAATTAATCATTAAATAATCAACAAGCATATTAATCAGTAAACTGTCTGTGTTTTATCTGTCTTCTGTAGAACAAGACTCTTCCACTGGAGAACACAACAGACTGTCTCAGCACTATGGCCAGCGTCTGTAAAGTCATGCTGGAGACACCGTGAGTCATACTGCTTTTCCACACACACACACACACACACAAAAAAGGTACACACCCTGCTTTGACAATGAGTGTCAGTGGATGTTTCCAGTCTACAGTTGATAGGTACAGGTTTGTTGCCAACAGAAGAGAATATTAAAGGATTCAGTGTGGACAGAAAGCATCCAAAGTAACGCGATGTGACGTAATATTCAGACACTCGCATGCAGTTAGGACACGGTGTTAGTGTTGACTTCAATGGCTCTTAATCCATGATTCTTCCCTTTTCTAATCCTGTTTCTTTCTCTCTCTTTAGAGAATATTCGAGTCGTTTCAGCAGCGAGGACACAGTCTTGTTTTGCATGAGGGTCATGGTCGGAGTCATCATTCTTTATGACCACGTCCACCCCAACGGCGCCTTCAACAAGTCTTCCAAGATAGACGTAAGGCACACACACACACAATGTAAGTACCACTCTGGACCTGTTTTATTGTGCAGCTCTTGAGTTCATGTTTCTGTTCTGTTTATTTCTCCCCAGATGAAAGGCTGCATAAAAGTGCTGAAGGACCAGCCGGCAGACAACGTAGAAGGCCTCCTGAATGCCCTCAAGTAGGTTACATTGGATTGTGAAAGGGTATTTTCTGTCTTGGTTTGTCACTATCACACTTGTTAAATACCAAGTACATTCACTGGTCTGAAAAACATTTTATTCAAGTTATGGAAAGTTGTGTATTTCAGTGAATGTTGTATTTTCTGATGTCTTCTTCTTCCTTTATGAATGGATCAGTCTCTCGGTTTTAAACTCAGAGCTGTAAATGTACTGGGATTGATCAATGTGGATATTTCCATCATGGATGACTGCTTTTATGCTCAGACAAGAAGGACCTAACTATTTTATAATAACTTTAACTTCACCAGGGTCCAAGTCAATCAGTCAGACACCATTAAATGTAATGGACAATAGAATTCCCTACTGGGTAATAAAATATCCTGTCGGAGTGTCTTATCACAAGTGGATGATCTTTTTTCTTGTGACGGTCTGTGCTCTGACCCATCGTGTGTGATTCTTTTCCTCCCTATCAGCTAAGGAAACAATCTCTTTTAGCTTTTACAGAACCCTCCGCTACACCTTTAACACACGTAAAGCCTCTGTTGTTCCATATTTTACCTCAGATAACGGTGCTAATGGGCGTCTGTGGATCTTCAGTCTGCCTTATTGAAAGTCCCACTAACGCTCTTCAATGTTTTTCTCCTCAGATTCACCACGAAACACCTGAACGACGAGTCCACTCCGAAGAACATCAGGACGATGCTCCAGTAATGTTTGTTCTTTTTTTATAAATAGATATGAAGAGGATCAATGCTCTGACCTCAAATAAGATGTATATGTTTACATTATTTAAAAAGACTCGATGTTAATACTTGTGTGTATTTGCATAGTCATTCCCTCCAAGCTATTGAAACCTGCAGAACATGTACCTTCTTCTACTTCGCAAAAAACAAACAAAAATTAAGCATCACATGAATTGCCTCTACTGTTAACAGCTGTCAAAGCACAAATGATGGATACCTATCAGCCTTATATAACTGAGCTTTGCAACAGCACTTGGACATAAATGAACAAGGCAGCATAAAAATGTCCTTAATGATTCAATCTTTTATTGACAATGGAATTAATTTAGTTTACAGGTTTTAGTCAAATTAAACTTGTTTTTTTGAAGCAAAATCTATCTTTTTTTGAAAGAGCGAAGATTTTAAATTCTGTCACAGTTTATATCAGTGAGAATTCAACATATATTAAAACAGGTGAAGTTGTTTCTGTGTTTTCACTTGAGATTTAATGACAATATGAAATCAATCAATGTTAAGGTGGACATTTTTGTTGAGTGAAGGGCTAAATATTGAAAGCAGATAAGGGATTGATTGGTTTTACGTATGTATTGCTAAAAGCATTAGGGTGTCTTCTGTTGTATTTGTCATTGTTTTTCTAACTCCAACCTGCAAATGTTAAAATAAATCCACTGTGAACATAAAACCTACTTTGCACATCCAGTAAGATCCAGTATGTCAAAGTGTACTTCAATTTTGAGGTTTTGCTGATTGAAAAGATAATGAAACACGAAATCAAATCACCAAATGTTTTATTTAACCGTTTTGTGGCACTGTTCTGAATGATAGTTACGTATTTTGACATGTTTTAAGTGACTCCTTGTGGCTTTTTTTATTAAACAGAAAATGCATTTCTCTAAAAGAAAAGCCAAAAAATCTTGCATTCTGAATAAATGATATGTGCTTTTAAAAAGAAAGCTTTTTTTAAAAATGTCTTTCCTTAAAGGTTTCCATTCTCTCATTTTTTTAAAAAATTGTTTAAGCTATGGATCTTTTCCCAGACGGGTTAAAGGAATAATTCACCTCGTCTCCAGTGGTGAGACCAATGTGATCAAGTTCATTGTTAAAACATGAATTTTGATATTGTTTTACTACATTTTGAGTTTATTGAGCCTTCTATACATCAAACTATACCCACGGTTATTTTATAGCCTCACAATTGACAGAATAGCATACACCTCATAACATACTTTGCCTTAAATTGGACTACTGAAGTCAAAGTTAATGACTTTAAAAACTTGTGTTGCCTTTACCTCTGGTGATTATGATCACTGTCACTGATTATAGCCAATATATAATACAATCTATTGTGTATTATTGATACCCTGCCCCCTGTGTACTAACATGGATATTCCTGATTGTTGTCCATTTCCTCAGTCAGTGTGTAACAGCAGCTCCTAACTTACCTGCTCACAAGGTCGGACAATCCCACCATCTGTGACTGTTGCACACTACACAGTTCGATCGTGGCTCATTTGTACTGTTCTCCCTCAAGGCCAATGGCTAAGATGAGCGTTTATTAGAGGATGCAACGAATAAATACTTCACATACTTCATCAGTTGTTGAGACACATTTTATTTTTTAGTAAAACAGCTTTTCCAGAGGAATAACTGGGCAGATTCCTCAAATTAACTTTACAAATGAACTTACCCACGCCAACTGTGATCTTACAATATGGACATGTATGTGGCTTATCAAAGAGCACAGCATTGCCTTAAAGACAATATTTTTATTTTTCATCCACAACACAGAATTAAATCATTTTTTACCCATAAGCCATACACTGAACCATACGCATTCACATTAGGTTCATTAACATTCAATTAACATGTGAGATATCTACCATTCATTTAAGTGTTTATTTTTTGATCCTCTTGTATTTAGTAATATATATGCGTGTGTGTGAGCCATACTTTGAATGCAATGTTTTATATGCAATGAGTGAAAACTGTACATGGATGTGACTTGGAGTGAGGTGTACATATGATACTGATATTTCATATCTGACTGAAGTGGCTTTAAGAAAAATAAAATTAACATCTTCTGTCCCAAGATATGCTACTGTGTGTTGAATGCCAGATGTTGTTTTGAATACTGAAACGAAATCAGTTTGTTCTTTTGTCTTAAACCGACAGTTATTGTTTAATAGTTTGGAGTTCAGACTCACTGTTTATATGAATTGCTTTGGCTTTGTATTGCATATGGAATGGGATGTGTGGATTGGATAATAAAGGTGGTACATTTCTTATACAGACATATGTTTCCTTCAGCTTTTTTATTTGCCACCAACAGGGAACTTAGCTATAGAGACTGAAACAGTTTTTTGTTCCAGGCAGTAACATTTCTGCTGTAAAGTTGGGCATTTTAATATGGGCCCTAATGGAGATTGACTCACTTCTGGAGCCAGCCTCAAGTGGCCGTTGGAGGAACTTTAGCCACAAGATAGAAACAAAACAGTGGTTGAGAGCTCCACAAGGTACCCTTTAGGCATCACATCTGTAAAAAGTTCATTTAAAAACAAGCAAGTTATGTGTTAAACCATAATTGAACAGAACTGTTAATATTCAAGATGCAAACCTATTATAACTATAAAGCTACTACTACTGTCTTCGGGCTCATGAATGATTTTCTCTGGCTTTTTATTCCGAGCGTATAGCGTAAATGTAAAGTGTACATCATCTGTTTTATATCTCTTATCTCCATCCTATTGAGCCCTGAGAGTTCTGTGTTCTTTTCTACATCTTGTGCGCACAAGTTAATCATTTGTATCAGTGACTTATGTTTACGCTCTCATTTCTCTTTAGAAAATAAAAACATCAAATATCTAAAAATACTTTTAAATGCTGGTCATCCATCCGGATAATCCTAGTAGAAGTATAAAAAATAAGGTCTAATAGTAATATTAGAGTTGTATTAAAAATGTAAGTGCAAAAAATCTAAAGAAAAATGGATACTATGACTCGTAAGTATTTTTAGCTTTTATTATCTAAAGAGAAGACAGGAAATAAGGACAGAGATGAAACAAAGGTCAATGATACAAGTTATTAACTTGTGCACACAAGGTAAAAAATATGACCTTACAGAATGTATTATATGAGCAAAAGATATTAATCTTGTCCTGAAGTTGCAGTTCTGTTGTCTTCCAGATGATGGCGATGTGCTTTACTCCATATCTGGTGCGTGTGAAGCAGGCACAGTCCAGGGCTGAGCTTCAAACAGTGGTGTAGCTGGGAAAAACATTCCCTTCATTAGTGATGTTTCCACTTTAGGTTCAAATTGCTGAACAAAATCATTATTATGTGAGGGAATGTATTTAATCAGTGTGAGACATCTGATTGGTCAACAACAGTGCTGATAGTTCACAGCAGCTGCTGTGATTTGGGTAATTTGATGATGCAGATGGTTGCAACATCTCAACCAGGGGCGTGTCCAGATGTTTTTGACAGGGGTGACACAAGTGTGGCACTGACTTATGTGTCTCAGCCTTCCAGTTACTACCAGTCTAAACAATTCCAGTCCTGTTTAGGGATCCCAGTCTGCAGAAATATTCAAATACACTACTATTTATACCATAAAAACTGCATGGGATTAGCATAAAGTGGCCAAAACAACTGTGGACTGCAACCTTCCTGACATGCTAGAAAGACGTGGAACAATGGAGCTGTTAGGTCATCTTCACTCTCGCTTTAAAACAGAGCCCACTACAGGCTCTGAAAGACAGAGTGGAGTGGAAAAGGTAAGGATAATGGGGTGGGCACCACCTCGGGAAATGCCCCTGATTTTAACCTTTTTATTTTAAAGGGGTTGGTTTACTCTAGGAAGGTGTCAGAGGACTCAGGTTCGAGTGGAGTCACGAGTCATTGGTGTTAAAGTCCAAGTTAAGTTGCAAGTCCTATTTAATTTTGTCGAGTTTAAAGTCATCCAAATTGTGACTCAAATCCACACCAATCCCTTTACAGACACTGCTACACAGATGTTTGGTCATATTAGTTTGCCTGCGACATAGCAGTGATCCTCCGATGTGAATTATGTCTGTCATCCTCATTATATTCCTGTAGGATAGTTTCAACTTGTTCGTCTTTGTTGATGTAGCATGTTGATGCGTAACTTTTGAGACCACAAAGACAAATCTCCTTCCCCAATGATTATGGCAACTGGGTGAATTGAATAATGAATACAGGTGTGTTCAGACCTGTAGGCTAATTTAATTTAGGTCAGTTAGTCCAGGGAAAAAAAACCTTTTTCACAGTTAAAGTTAAAATGTCTGCCATGAATAAAGTCTATTATCTCCAATGAAGATGATTTGTCTTTTCGGATGTTAAATATGATGAACATTTCAGCTGGCGGTGGCACAAACATGCCCCACATCATCCTGCCGAAGATATACAGAGTACATTCACATTGTCAGCCTTTTCTTACCACCAACAGTTCAGCCCAATGAAGATAGACTACTGGACACTACTGGGGGGTAAGGCACTAAAAGGTACAAAATCTACATAATTTTTTTTCGTCAAATAGAAGTCCTGTTAAATAGATGGAACCTACAATAACTATAAAAATAAAACATTCAGAATCAATCATTTTGCTCTACATAAAACAGGGTCACACACTGCACACATTCTGAGACTTTCTTGCAGATTCAGTCATTTTAAACCCAGAATTTGTCCCCAATACATTTCTTGCTGTGCGGTTACATCATAATCAGCCCAGAGGAGTGGAGCAGTTGGGGTTACTTACTGGGAGCGCTCCGGTGCGAGCGCTGGGACGCCCTGAGGGCCTCCACGCTCAGCCGGGGCACCGCTGACCTCACCGGCCCCGGACGGATCCCAGCGTTCCACTGGGCCAGGCGCAGCATGCTCTTGGCGGTCTCCTTGGTGACGGGGTGGTCGTGACCGCGAACCGCCCAAGAGGGTCGAGATTGGGTCTCAGGATGATGATGATGGTGATGAGGAGGAGGAAGAAGAGGAGGAGGTGGATCCTGGGCTCTGCAGTTAGAGCTGAGAAACATCTGGAGAAGAAAGAAACTCAGGTTACCTTGGTAACCAAACATTTCATGTTATATTTATTCATTACTTCCTGTATCCAGGCAGTCAAATAAACTGGTGATGATTTCACCACAGCCTGAATATTAAATGCCACAGTGTCCTCTATCTCACCCTCTCCTCCCCTCCTCCTCCCTCAAACCCCATCATCAGCATAATTTGGCTTCCCCTCCGCCCCCTCCCTCTCTGAGCAGCTCATCATTAACACGTATTTCTGTGTAAACGCTGCTCCATAATGCATGATGCCTGCTGGTTGCTCAGTCCCCAGAGAAGCCGCCGCGTTTATCGTCTCCCTTTGGTTCAGACAGCGGGGTCACAGTCACAGTGGGGTTACGGCGGTGGTGATGAATGGAGAGAGGTTTACCAGTGATTTGGCTTTGCGTAGTTTGTAATTCGCCTCAGACAGTGTTTTCTTGCTCCCGTCGTCTGGTTTCCACGTGTTTCTGCGGCAGGTGGAGGTTCTGATGTTTGACTGCCTGCAGAGAGACATACATGGCCTATAACATTATACTTTATTATTATATTATTATGTATATTGTACTTATAATACATGTCTGTATCTATATACTGAGTTGCACTACTGGACCTCTTTTGCACATATATTTGCACAATTCACTTATATATTCTAGGGTATTGTAATTGTAGTTATTTGTCCTCTTTCAGCTTGCTCAGCTCGATTTCCCCTCAGGAATCGAAAGTCTTATCTGATCTTATGTTATCTTTACGAGGACTGCACAGGAGCATAACAACTGCACACTTTGTTTCTCTGCTGAGTTATTTCCACATGCATTTCTGTAGGCTTTTTGTAGTCACTGTGGAACAATTCGATTAGATTTATGGTTCTCCTCACAGTAGATAACATGATTTGCAGAGCATTTACATACACTGTAAATCCTACTAACATATCTTAATAAAAGAAGTAAGTTAACATAAGTTAATCTTCCAAAAAAATGTACGTCTCTCATTCCTATGAATTAAACCCAACTCAACAATGAATTGTTGAAGTAATAACTTGTTTAACTCTTTGAGTGCAGTTAGATTTGTGCAGAATTTTAATTATTAGTGATATAATTCTAGTTTGTTCCACTGTCTCATTTTCTTTAAGTTTACTTTATATTACAAGAATGTAGGCCCCAAAGCCCCAAAATGAATAGGCTACCACTTTGATAATTGATTAATTATAAATAGTTTTTTTTATCATATGTCAGCTGTTTTGACAGGTAATCTAATAATAATTTACTTAAGTGGAAGAAAACGGACTATACATTTGTATGAAGAGGATGCATTAAATGTAGTCTTACTTTATTTAGATAAATAACACATTTTAAATAAGTTTGAAGAAATGCTGCATAAAAGTGTAATGTGTTTACTAGTTTTAAGTTCAATTAACTGAATGAAATTGGTACAATTAACTTAATTTACTCAAGTAACTTTAACAATAAATACTTGAGTTACTTGTACTTAAATCAAATATTTTTTCATGTTTAAATTGTTGGAGATAATAAATTTAAATCCTCAAACAATTTGAGTTGAACTAACTCATTAGGTTTTACAGTGCAAATGCAGACACTGGTGTAAAATGAAAGTCACAATACAGCTAATGAAGAGAAATGTGTCTCCTGTGTCAGCTCATTCTCTGTGACAGAATATGCAGGTACAAATCTTTTGATGTTGTCAGACAATTAGAATAACAATTTGAGTCAATGGCAAAAACAAACACTTTCAGTGGATGTACTTTGACGGGCGCTCTATCCCCATTGCAGCATCTAACTCTGTGAATTAAGTGTTTGTGTCAACCAAACCAGCAATGGTGATTGTTGGAAAGCCTAATAAAGTCGGTTTTGGTGAGTTTTATTTTGTCTCTGTCCCATTGTTTTGAGATGCTGGCGCTCTAGTGCGACATCCAGTAGCAAGTGAATTTTGTATATATAACCTCTACATTTTACCGGTTAAACCGGGCTATTTGAAAACAGTTCATCCCTCCTCATGTTCCCTGCAGTCTTACGCTTTGAGGGCTTGTTCATTGGGGTCCAGGTTGTCCAAGTAGTTGAAGCGTAGCGTGTCTTTAGGACATCTGTCAGAATCTCTCCATGGTGGCGGTGCAGTTGGCCGCTTCTTCCTGGAGATGTTTCCAAGTGGCAGCGTGCTGGATTCCTCCTCACTGAGGAAGGGCAGTTCTGACAGATCCTCAAGCCTACTGCTGCTGGCTGACACATGTGGAACCACAAACTGCTGCTGGGATGGAACAGTCTGAAGGTGGATAATAGACTTTTTAATAATTGTTTTATCACTGCATTTAATGTAGTTACCCTGTAACATCAATGTCTTCTGTATAAATGTGTTATAGTGCTGGTTTTTTGAGAACAAAATCATTAGAGCTGAATCACTGAGCTAATTCTGGATCTGATCCTCAGACCTGTAGCGAGGTGAGTCGTAGCTCCTGCACAGTCTGGATGTAGTGTCTCTTCCAGACGCCCTGCTCGAAGGGCGTTGGGGAGAAGTTGATGCACCAGCCGAGCCTCAGACACTTTGGCATCCACAGCTGGTCCAGTTCCACTATGCTCTTCCAGTGCCAGCTCACCTGCCCACAGAGGATTAAAGAGGAACCCTCAGCTGGCTCAGAAACAGTTGAGTCATCCATGTTAACACATCGCCTATATATATGTGTGTTATGGTCCGTGTGTGTGTGTGTGTGTGTGTGTGTGTGTGTGTGTACCTGGGCACATCGACAGAGGCTGCGTGGGTCCAGGAAGGAGAAGAGGTAGAGGCAGAGGGCTCTGGGCAGCAGGCAGGTAAGGTCTGCAGCCTGCAGGGGGAGCCGTCTGCTCACGCTGAGGCTCAGGAACATCAGCTGCTCCTGAGAACAGCTCAGCACAAAGTCCTGCAGCACGGCCCTCCTCTGGCTGTCAGACCACTTGTCAAACTGACAAAGAGATCAAAGAGCAGGACTGTTTCAGCTGAATGGATCTGGGTTGGAAAATGGACTGTGGTTTCTAATGACGTGTCGCCATTCGGCTGCTTCAAACTCACCCATTTTGCCAGAAGGTTTCGCCTCTCTTCAAACACCTGAGGAAGAAGAGAGCAGTGAAGAAGTATAGTAATCACATCAAACTGGTTAACTCTACAAAGTCATTCTTGAAATATCCCCTTGAAATCAATGAAACACGGCGGTATAAACAACTTTCGTCCACAGGGGCTGCCAGAATTAACAAAACATGAAAGTTACTTGTAGGGTCTTCAAGCACAGTTTTGACTTATTTGTACTTTACTCGAGTGTTTCCATTCTGCTTCTACTCCACTACGTTTCAGTGTGAAATAGACTAGGAAGCACTGGACTGTACAACCTAATTTTATATAAAGTAATTAAAAGTTACAACTAAAACTGTAAAATACTACAGTAAAATATTGCGTACATATTTATGCATCAGTTAACAATTGAATAATGTCATATTCAGTATTATACAGGGACCAAGTACATTAAAGTACATTTTGCTGATGATACTTTTACTTAAGTAGGATTTTAGATACAGGACATTTACTTGTAATGGGTATTTTTACAGGTGGTATTGCTACCACTCACAAAATAAAACCTGTATTATGACTATATTAATAAGGTGTTTGGGCTGATAGCAGTGTTTCGGGATAGAGGAGTTGATGTGACCTTGCTGTTGGACAGCGGGTGGTTCAGAGGAGTCCAGGTGCTCAGCGTGGTCTGCATCTTAGCACTGCCTGCAGAGGACCTCGGTGCAACAGGCATCTTTGGGTAAAAGCTGGGGAAAGATGATTCACTAAAATACACAGAACAAAACTTTATTGATATGTCTGCTGCTGTGTGTATGTGCAACGTACAGTATCCATCATTGTCAGATGTATCCCCCTTTACAGGATAATGCCTGAGCACTTCAAGGCTCATGTTTACATACCAGCTTATATCTCACTTATAATGGATAAAGTCTTAATGCCAAACGATAATCCTGAACAAAGCATCTCCATCTTTAATTCTTGAAATCTTGTTAAAACAAGTTAGGAAAAACACATTCCAGTTCCAACCCTGCAGTGTTACAAGAGTTAACATTACTGCTGAGTACCACACACTCCTCTGGCATTGAACTCACCATCAGTTCTCCTCTGCTGGCAGAAGGAAATAAATCCAACTTCTGAACACTCTCTCTCTCTCTATGTGCGTACTATTGATGGCCTTTGTGTCCGTGAGCCCAACTCTTCCTCTTCTTCTCTTCTCCCTCTCCTTCTACCCACTTTCCTGTGCATAGTTTACTTGTTTCCATAGTAACAGTGAGTGTACTCTCCTTACATGGACTGGCTGTCACAGCCTGTCACACACAGAGGGGGGTGCTGCAAAGCAAACCACAGTGGAGTGTGTGCAGTGTGCAGGCCTCACTGGCTCTAATGATGACAAATGTAGTGCAGAAGGCCTGACTCTGCAACTGCTAGAAAGACCATCTGCCTCTGGTTCTCTGATACTGCAAAAAAAGACCATACTCAGCCTGTATTCTTCAGAATTTACTTTAAAGATATTTGGAATATAAGTTTGACACTGGAAATATATCATTTTCTTACGCACTGTTAATAACTTACATCAAAACCTATGCCAAATGTCCATTTAAATACATGTGACATATAAGTATTCAACATTCAGTCATTATTATTATTATTATTATTATTATTATTATCATTATTATTATTATTACAATTATTAGCAGCTTTTGTTCGTAGTAGTAGTATAGCAGTGTATTAGGCTTAATACATTGACTTGGGTAACTAATGAAGGCGTTGGCTCTGTTTCTTTTAACACTGCGATGCTGCTGTTGTATGAATAAAAAGTTAGACCCGCTGCTGGGACTTGTTGGGCCTATTTCCAGTCTCTGCTCGGTCCAACCACTCAGAGAAGTTTTTCATTCAATAGCAGAAAGCCTGCTCGCCCTCGGATGGGCGGCCGCGCGCAACGAAGACAGAAAACCTGCTGTGAAGAAAGAGGCAGAGCTGCGTCAAGTTACACACACACACACAGACACAGACCGGAAACCAGCCCGCCACCCTTCAAAGTAAACGAAATCTTCCATGGCAAAAAAAATGTTTGCTTGTGTTTTTGCTACCTACAAGTAAGACTTCATTTAAGTAAAAAGACATGTATGAGCCAATTGTACTTAGAGAATCAAAGTAACAACAGCCTACTTGTTTTGCAGGAAAATACCCCCTGGAAGTGATATTTTAATGCATAAATGATTATTACATAAATACTGATAATACAGCATATTAAGTACCATTGTACTGTTGTAGCTGGTTGAAATGGAGGTCTTTTAACTACTTTTTACACCAATATAGTTGAATCTACTGTAGGCCTGTGTACTGTATTTAATTAGATAATTATATGCATACATTTATTATGTGTAATGTTAATGTGTAAAATAACAAAACTATAACTGACTGATAAATGTAGGAGTGAAAAGTAACTACATTATCGGCCTCTGAAACTGGAGCAGATGTATAAAGTAGCATAAGTTAAATGGAAAGTATGGTAGCCTACTACATCTACTTTAAAAATTAAATCATAAGATTAAAATTGTTGGTTGTACTGTGATTAAATAAACCCTTGCCTTTTAATGTGGTGCAATATTTTTACGAATTACGAGTCACTACCTCATTACATGTTAAGTTTACTGACACAGAAATAATATGTTATATTTTGTCTTGTTTCGTTTGTTACTCCAGTTGTTCTGTGATGCTCTTTGTCTTCTGTACACATATTTTAAACACGGAGTCAGGAGTCTCGTTGATGAGACTTTTATTTTGATAGTTTTGACTGGAAGCCATTTTGAAAATGTCGCCGGCTTGCCGCTCGGGCGAAGAGACGGACGGGAACCGCGGAGAGACAGGAGGAGGAGGACAGGAGGAGCCGGGAGGAGGGTGCTGCTGCTGGAGGGACATTCACTCATTGTTACCAACTCGAGGAGCGGCGGAGACCCCGTCGCTACACGTGAATTTTCGGCACAACATTCAGGTAAAGTTGCCTCTAATTGAACCAGTTTCGCCCACATTTATAACCGAGTGTTTCTCATTAGCAGCCGCCTCCGTTGCCGCCCGGCTCGGCTCGGTGAATTATAACACCGGCACGCAGCTTAACGTTACATATGCAACCGTTACCATCAGTTAACTAACCGTCATCTTTTGTCTCCGCTGCGCTGCTTGACATTTCTGTCTGTTAAATTCAGCCATTTTTCTGTAGCGAGTCAGTAACAGCGGGAACCGGACCAGCCAGCCTTTACGGTAACTGTTAGTTGGCTAACACTCACATTTATGAGGAGCAATTAAATAATGAGTGCCCGGCTAGGAGCTATAGGAGGAGCCCGTTAACAGTGGCGCACAGGTAGGCTAACACACACTGATACACTCGCTGTAATAAACCTTTGAAATGAACCTCTTCTGACACTGGGGTGAAGCAGACAGGTTCAACCATGTGTAATTCATGTGTCAGTGAATGGAGAGGTATTGGGTTGTTATGGGTGTGTACTGTCATGTAAATGTAGCAGGTTCCGTTATGTAAAAAATGGCTAAATTAAATAAAAAATGGCACAAAATAATTACCTGAACTGTTTCTGAAAGGTGGTGTTCCTTAGTCCACAAATTGAAGTCACACCACTGAAATAATTAGAAATAGTCACATACCAGAAATGATTACCATTTCAATAAACTGCCACAGTAATGCTGTAAATATCCATGTGAATGTTTGAATGTATTAATTATTCAGATATTTGTGTGAATATGTTGCTGTTATTCTCAGTCACTAGCATGATATATAGGCTGTTAGTTAATTCTGTTAATGTTATCATTCATCTGCACAACCCACCCACCACAGTTAGTGACCTGAAAAGCAATTACCAACCCTCTTGAAACAGCCTTTTGTGTGTTTTTCAGCTGCAGTCTGTAATTAGTCTAATTTTCATTAAAAAAACACAAAAACATGCCTGTTCTGGGCTGCCATTTTCAAAGCTTACTAGAGGTGAGTAACCTACTAGTGGTGGATTGATACCAAATATAAGAACATTTTTGTGCTTTTATTTCCAGATCGCAGGCTGCACGTCATCTCCCTCTGGAGCTGTCATCGATATTTTCTCCAGAAGCGTCCTCGCTGCTGTCCATCGAGGCAGGAGAGGGAGGAGGGTGAGCCGCGCAGCCACGGCGCAGCGTCTTAAAGGACCACAGCATCTTTGGGGTGATGGAGGTCTTGTGACGCGCTGCTGCCTCTGACCGGAATCACCACGGTGATGGATGCCGCCAGCTTCAACCATGGCCGTGTTGGATTACGCTGCCCGGCCCAGACTGTTCCTCTGTGAGCTGCAGAAGAGGAAGACAGACCGTGTTGGACACTCCTCGAGCCTTGTGATTTCCCTTTCCTGTTGAATGAGCCAGATGCTAACGGGGCTCAACCCCTCGTCCTAACCACCTTCCCCTGGGTCTTTCCTCGTTCTCCTGCTCTACGGACCGGTCATGGATCTCCTGTGGGTGCTGTCGGTGTCCATGTTGACGGCGTGCGTCGCCATCCCCATGGATGCGGCGGCGGGGAGCCACAGTCTGTTCACCTGCGAGCCCATCACCCTGCGCATGTGCCAGGGGCTGCCCTACAACGCCACCTTCATGCCCAACGTGCTAAACCATTACGACCAGCAGACGGCGGCCCTCGCCATGGAGGTACAGTACCCCGCTGACGTGTGACAGACGCAGAACGCCTTTTTAAAGCTCCACTGTGTGTTACTCACGTAGGACACTGTGAGGGAGAGTACAGGTATTTGCTGATATTTGCTGTTGTCAGGGAGAAACACATTTCCAGCGTTTAGCCAATAGTGGAACTGCTCCTACCTACTCAGTGAGAGGGGATGTCTGGGATACATCAGGGCTTCTAATAATGGTAAACCTTAAACTACTAGAAACTGCTAGGGAATTAAACAGTGGCAGCTGACAGAGGTCATGGATAGACCTTTTATCAGAGGGGGAAACATCTGGTACAAATATCTGCTTTATTCATTACAGCCCATCATGTTTGTCTGTTTACAGCGTTGGTTTTGGGACACACATTGTTAATTTCCTGTATAAACTGGGCCTCTCCCTGATCACGATGATTCTTCAAATAGCAGTACGGCACGTTTTCATATTGTAATTTTATATTTGAATCATGTATGGTAAAAGCTGGAGGGTCCTTTCTGTTTCGAGCATCGTTCACGTCGCCATTGTCTCGGAAATCCATTCACAAGCTCTCATTCAGTGTGAGCCGGTCGTGTTGCGGGTTTCCACATTTCCCCCCAAAACTGACCTTTAGAGATAACAAGGTTTATAAGGAAAATAGTTATTCTTACAATGTGACCTTTTATGTTTTGTTCCGTTTCCATTTCCGTCACTGACAGTTTCTGAGCGCTGTCCCCTGACTCTGTCTAGAGCTAAACAGTTACCAACAACAACTGTTTGATTATTAAAATAAATATTAAACTGAGGATTTCCTGCTTTTTTAATTTTAAATAGAATATATTTGGCGTGTGAGGGAAAAATGTTCACAGGTTTTTGTTATTAGCATAAATGTTTAATGGATTGTGAACCTATAACTGACAATAACTAATAGATATTTGATAAAAATCCACATTTCTGCCAAATTCAGATTTTAGCTCATTTAAAAAAAATAAAATGTAATAAATCTATAGATTGGGAACACAAATAGGTAACGTCACAGCATTTTTAAAATGGGTTTACACCTGAAGTCATTACTAGAAATCATTTTGAGAGAGGCCATTTTGTATTTTGTGCTTAGGTAGTAAAAATACGAGCTGATTTCTTATTTTGTCGTTAATCCCCCCAAAAATGGATCCGTTTTATATAAGGGTTATATGAAAACTGCTAAACTTTTATTTTTCAAAATGTGTCCCTTTCTCTTGTTTTTTCCTCTCAGTGTCCGTCCCTCTTTCTGCCTCTGAGCCTGTCTGAGCATTTTTCTCAGGTTCAATCTTTTTTTTTGTCTGTTGTGACTCACATTGTTGTGGCTCTACAGAAACTGACACCCATCTGCAGACACATTTATTCAAACAGAGTGAGGCACACCGACTGCATTTCTATCTACATCAGGTCAGGACAATACTGATATATATATGTGTGTGTGTGATATAATTAGTCTTTCTCACATGTTGATAAGTGGTTGTGTGTGTGTGTGTGTGTGTGTGCGCTGCACTGTCTGCCCCTTGGACATCAGTAGCCTAGATAGCTATCACCACAGCTGACTGGGTATGTGCAGAGAGTTGGTAATATAAAAGTGCTAGCCTACTTTAATGTGGCTCTTCTAGCTCCAGGGCCTGAGAGTGTATTACCAAAACATTAAGCAGAAAATTAAGTTTTAATACTTGTCCCTGGGGGCCATGAGAACAGTGCATTATTAAACGCCACTGATATAACAGGGCGTGATGTCCTAACATGGTTTCTGGCCGCACATCTGGCATGTTGACAGCGATTTAGCCCGACATGTAGGGACTCTTCACATCATTTGTTGGGCACCAAAGCCATTTTACATAACAGGCTTTTGAGCAGTTAGTCAACTTAGCCAGAGAGCGCAGATCTCAACCTGTTCTCTGCCTCAGTTGGGTTCATCTGATGGATTAAAGCTCAGATTACAGTGTTTAGTCCATGTTTTATTGTTTCTACGCCTTAGATTATCTATAGATTTACCAGCCGCACCATCTCACTGTTGTGGCTGTGTTATCCTCTTTGAAACGTCGAGTTAGGCCTTTAAACACAATCACGGAGCAGATGCATCACCTCGTTAACTTAATCCCATCTTTTATATAGGCTGATCTCTCTGGAAGCTCAATCTATCGAGCAATTACCGGTCAAACTGCGGCAAAACCTTCGGTTGATGCTCTGTTGGCTGAACTATCTGCCTGTCTGTGTGTGTCTCTGTCCATCCATCTATATTTATCTCAGTTCATCCATTCTCAGCATCGTGTTCCCACTGGCTGCCGCTCCCTCTATCACTTTTACCCTTTGACACCCGCCCCGCCCGCCTGGCACAGCCAGGATGTCCATGTGTGGAGCCCTGCCGACCATCTGTGCCTGCTCCACTTCGCTGTACTCGGCGTACACACATTGAGAGAGAGAGAGAGAGAGACACGGAGGGCGCGAAGAGTTGTGTGCCACAGAAATCCAGGGTTATGTAACCTCTGATGCCCTGCCCGGCTGTGGGAGCACGCAGCATCGCATCACATCACAGCCTCACTCGCATTTGGAAACGATGCAAACACTCCGTCTCTCCTGCCTCCGCCTGCCTTTCTTGTCATCTTCTGGATTTATTCACTCTGCCATGTGGGTTTTTTAAGATCTGCACAGAGTGATTTTTGATGGAGTCTTCCAATAAAGTACTATTTGAATTTTAATGCTGAAATCAGATAGATGTCTGTGGTTTTGTCGTTGCTGAGATGTTTCTAACCCACTGCTGTGTTGTTTTGAGGCCAGGTTAGCTACTTACGCTAATCGCAGTGTGTGGGTTGCAGTGAACAGAGAGTGGTTTAGACGGTGTTCACTTTGATTGGTCATGGATCCACAATTAAGTCTCTTTTAGTGCTCCGAAATGCTCGTTGGGTTTGGAAAACACATGGATACCCAATAGGTTCCAACTAACTACGCCTCTGTTTGGCTCTCGTTTTCCAGATAACTCGCCCTAGATCCAGTTCATGGGAGAATTCAAAGCCTATAAGATGTTGAGGGCAGCCAAATGAGAATTGACAGTTGATTTTAAAGGGAATTAGGTCCGCTGAATAGCCATGATAATGATGATGAATGCGCTGCACCGTGGAGAAACTGGGAGTTGGACGGGAACCAACGCCTGCCGTTCTCGCAGTTTTTGTCCAAACCCCCTGAAGTGGTGTCTTTCTGAATTCCTTTTTTCTTGTCTCGCTTTTCAAGGTCTTTTCAAGGTTTTTATTTTTTGGGAATGTGGGTGCAATTTGTCATGATATCGTAAACGTTCCTGTTGCTCTATCTGGTGAGATACACTGGTAATAATTATAAAACTACCGTTTAATGATGTTCACTAACGTATTTCATGTTAGGCTGGTGCTCACTGTTGTGTTGGTTGAGAAATGTGCTACAATCCTCATTAGCAGACCGGATAAAGGGATAAAAGATAAAAGAAAGAAATTTTTTACTTTACTGCACAAATACATATTTTATGGCTGTCTGTACAGGAAACAACACAAACAGGATTTCTGTTCTGGTGTTCATCCTCACTCAGTCGGTGATCGCTGACCGCTGAATGACCTCACAGCTGAAGTGGGACAGTGGCCTCGGGGCTGGGAATCGGCTATTTCTGTGCCACAATGATACTGTGCCACACTCATAAGATAAGTGGGAGCGTGGCGGATTTGACTGGCATTACAAAAAGAAAAAAAGAAAGCGGGTAAAATCCCCTTCTTTACAGATAGATACAGATGCAGCTACAGGATGAATGTAAGGCTGTGTGGGTTCATCACAGTAAATCAATTTAGATGGTATGAACTGTCCTTGGCATCCAAAGCAGATGGCATTTGGCTTTTTTTAAGGATTTTTTATTTGGGCAGAAAGCGGGGGCAAATTCTCATGATATTGTTATCAGTAGTCAATAGAAGTTTTAATGTTGCTGTTTAGAAACAGACTTTTTAAGATCTAGTGACGTTTTTGTTTTTAATCTACGGTTGGTGCTTAGTGTGGTGACAGCATTATAAATGCATATTTATTTGATTTACATTCCCTGCTATGAAGAACTGAATGAAATACTACAATCTTCAGATGAATTATCAAATCATATTTTTGTATAGAGACAAATTAGCATAGCCACCGTGTTTTTTATTGTGCAGCTAGCAGAAGAGCTTTGGTTCAAAGCATACGGTTGCAGATATTTTCTTATTTGGTAGGCTTCTCAGGTCTTTAGCAGGACAAAGGGGGGTGGGGGTGACTTTCAGGAAGGTTGTATACATGTGATTGTCATGGTAAAAGCAACAGGGATTGCTTGAGCGTTTCTTCAAGGCCAGATGGGACAAGCAAGGGTCAGGGCCAACCGAAGATGTTAATTAAATTAGATTGATAAGAAGGGCTTGTTTACATGAAGCCAAGGCCAAGCTAGCAAATCATTTTTAATGGCTGCAAGATAAAAAAAAGGAAAAAAAGCATGTTGTGTTGGTGGAAATTCAGATAAACAAGCCCTGATATATCTTATTTTGTCCCTATCACAGAAATGAAAGAAGATGAGCAGGTTATTGTGCCCGTGTAGTCACAAGGCATAGTGTCTGTCATCTGTACTAATGACATTTAAAAAAAAAAGTCTTTTCTCAGCCATCCTGAGCTCAGCTTTCCATGGTATTTGTGCTGTTTGTTTTGTGTGCAGGGACACAAAGACTAATCAGTGGTCTGCTTTTAATCTGCTCGGTCCCACTTACACTCATTTCCTCCTCCTTTCAGCTCCTTAAATCAGCCTCTTGTCTCAGGTTTACAACACATTCAGTTCAACTGTGTCATGTTACAGCTGCTGTGGAGAATAACCCAGATACTCCACCCATGCTGTGTGAATGGATTTGTAAGGGAGAAGTTAGGTGTGTGAGAGAGAGAGAGAGAGAGAGAGAGAGGAAAGTTTCTGTAAAATGCTGATGAAGCTCTCTGACGGCTGCAAGTCTGTTAAAAGCTGC